CCCCCCCCCGCCGTACCGAGAAGAGCACACCCCCGGCGGCACCCGATTCAAGGAGCTCCTCGCCCGGGCCAACGGCCAGGGCGCTCCCCTGCCGCCGGCGTCGCCGTCGGCCAAGCCCCGCCTCGTCCTCCCGCCGGAAGGCGCCCCGGACTACGACGACGACAATCAGTGGGAGGAGCAGACCATCGGGTCCCCGGACGTGCCCGACCCGCCCCTCCGGCAGAACATGCCGGGGCTGGACCTCGGACCCGAGCTCGACTACGGGGGCGGGGGCGAGGCCGGCGCGAGCGGCAGCGGCGGCAGCCGGTTCTCGCAGATGATGAACCAGGCCAGGCAGAACGACGACCGGCAGGAGGCCGGGATGGCGCCGAGGGCGAGCCCGCGGTCGCCGCAGGAGGTGGCGAAGCGGGCGGCGGCGGCGCAGGCCCCCGTGAGCAAGGAGGAGAAGGAGAGGGCCATGAAGGCGGCCGTGGAGCGGCAGCAGAAGATGATGGCCAAGGCGAGGGGTATCGACCTTGACGACCCGGCCCTCGAGGGCGCCGAGCTGGCGAGGAAGAAAGCTCTCAGCCGAGCACAGGCGGAGGCACAGTGAGTGGTAGAGTTGATGCGTGCTGTCTACGGTTGTTGCGTAACGCCAATGGCCGTTCGGTGGTGGTGCACATTTGTCGATGACAACCTCCTTCTCTGTGAGCGTGTTGTTGCTGCGTTGCTCAGTAAGATCTTTGGAACTCCTGTGGGCTGTATGTAGGTATCCTGGACACTAGCGGGCGCTGGGATCTGACGCATGTACGTATCGATCTGGCGCGTCGGCCCTGTAGGGTTTCACTCGGGCTCCTGGCGTGAGTACGCGCTTGTTGTTGAGGAGACCTCCTGCATTTCTCGATTGTGTGTCTGCTGATTATCGAGAGCCTGCATGCGGAAACGACTTCACGGCAAAGTCTCCCCTGTCGGGAACACAGCATGTTGAATGACTGGCCTTTGCAACCTGTCCTCCATCCGCTGCCCTCGTGTGGCGCCACGGTAACCAACAGGGCCGGCGGCTACGTGCCGAGCTCGAGCGCCGCGGACGACTACCTCAACTCCCTCAAGGCCGACTCGCAGAAGAAGCAGAGGGAAACGCAGGCTAAGCTGCGCGGGGAGCCCCTTCCCCCCAGAGAAGGACCGCTCCTGTCTGCTTCCCCGCCGACCGGAACGGCCACATCTGATGTGCCGGATAAGGTGTACCACGAGAGGAAATATGGCACCTTTAGCGAAAACACCGTAGGAAGTTTTGACGGCTATGTGCGTGCCCACCAAGAGCATCCTGTTTCATTGCCCCTGCTGATGCTGATGCTGATGCTGATGCTGATGCTGATGCTGACTCGAACAAAACGATAACAACGCCCGGAGTCACCCGGAGAAAAACGCAACACAAAATGATGGATTTTTGGGGGGGGCGGGGGGAGGGGGGGTTGCCTCAGTTGTTCTGCCGCGTACCCGTACTCTTTTTGTTCCGACGACCTCTGTCGCGTCGACTCCGCTTCGCCAGGTAGGGTGGCAGAAACACGCGGACAATCGTCAGAGCTAACATTTTAGTCAGGAATGGTTCGATTTTTTCAGACGGAAATACCCTTCGAATTGCCGTCCGGCTGGTCGAAGGACAATCTGCCGTGGGGCGTCGTATGCCTTCGAGATAGATCAGATTTTTCATCAATATCTCGGATAACATGGCTTGCGTGTCATGTACTCGAACCTTGAAGTATCCATACCAGTCGGAGGGGAAGATGTTCTTGCGAACTGTCGAGCTGCCACTGCCCCCTCTTGTACATATTTCCTTTTCAATATGAATATCTAAACTGCACGGCTGCCATAACGCGAAAAACTTGTGTTGACTCGTACCCCATCAGCTTAAGACTGTGATATTTCCTCTTTTGAGAAACACGTTGAGGCTTCAGATCAAAACCCGCCCGCCGGTCGTTGGCGTTAATCTGGCGTTGTGGTGCCAGATCCGGCTTCTTGTCACCTGACGACCCAAAACGATTGAACGCTTGGATTCACGAGCGGTACTCCGGAGCTTTGATTCTTTTGTTGTTCCCTGTTGGGCTCTTGACATTTGTTGATGTCGTCGGCAAGAGGTGACCAACAGCCTGCTCGCTCCGCGTTTGCCCACATCAGCTTTTTTTTTTATCGCGAGTTCCTGCCGTTCATGCTGTCCCCCCTCCGATCACATAACCCCCCCCTTTCTCCACCCAACCGTTCTCAGTCGGCGGCGCCCCTGACGTCGGGGGAGGACTACGAGCGGGTCAAGCCCCAAAAGCGCACCGCCGCTTCGTGGAGCATCCAGAACAAGGCCGACCAGTACATAGCTTCCCTCAAGGGGATCAAGGTAGAACTCGCCGACGACAACCCGTACCTGAATAAGGAGTCTCTGGTTGAAGAGCCGCAGCGGTCGGTGCGGCGGCCGCCGCCGCCGGCACCCACGCCCCCGCTCGGCCCCCAGATGAGCTACGCCGAGAAGCTGAAGCTCGCGAAGATGGCGAAAGCTGCGGGTAAAGCGACCGCCTCTGCGCCTTCGTCGAACGCGGTGGCGGCCCCTGTTGCTACCCTGCCTCCTGCAACCAAGGCGCCACCGCCGCCGGCCACGTCTTCTGGATCGCCCGCCCTCAGCTATGCGGAGAAGCTAAAGCAGGCCCAGGCGGAAAAGTCCGCCGCCGGTAATGGGGTCGTCCCGAAGTCGGTGCCGCCGCCGCCGCCGCCCCCATCAGCGGCTGCTGCTACCGTCGCCCCTGCGTCGAGGAGACTGTTGGAGCAGGAGATACCGTCGGGTGGTTCGGTTGGCGAAGGCGACTCTGAGGCGAAGGTGAGACAAGCGCCCGATGTTCCCGGCAAGAGCAGGTACTATTGCTTGGTACAATGCCGGCAGGGCGCAGTGGAGTCAAGCTGGGTTGGTCTGTTGGGTTTTGCGTTCTTTGCTCTGCTCTCTTGCCAAGATGTACTCGACAAAGTGGCAAAATCGGTTGTCCCTCTAACCGGAGGCTGCATCGGATCATTCGCCCGCCGCGCTACTACTGGTGTCTCGCCCGAAACAGATGGTTAAGGTGATGGACCTGCTTACCGAGCACAAGACGGCTGGCCTCGAGGGCGAGGACCGCGTGTCCGAGCTGCGCCACTCCCTAGTCGATGTGCGCGAAGCCCTCCGGGCCGAGACTTATGGCAGGTCGGCGGCCGCGGCCGCGGCGCCGACAGCGGCGACGGCGTCATCGACGCCCATGCAACCACCACCACCACCACCGCCGCAACCGCCAGTAGCAGCAGCTCCGTCACCCCCACCGCCACAGCAACAGCAGCAGCCGGCACGGCCGGCCCCGACGGCCCCGCCAACGACAAACCCAGAAGACGCGGCGACCCTTCGCCGCTGCAGCGCCCTGCTGCAGGCGCACGTGCACTCGGGGCTCGCGGGCCAGGACCTCCAGGCCCTGGTGGAAGGGCTCGCGTCCTCCCTCACCATCGTCACGGCCCAGGTCGTTACCGGCACTGCCGCCGCGGCCGCCGCGGCCGGCGGCAGCGCTAGCGGAGCACCACCAGCACCGGCGGGGGGTGACAGTACGGGGGTGCCGGCTTACGCCGGGGGGATTCAGTCCGTAGGGGGAGCCCTGTCGGACATGGGCGTCGCGAAGAAACCGGCGTCGTTCTTGCCGGAGGAGGGGGAGGGGGACGGGAGCGCCGGGTGGACGGGGGGAAGCCTCGGGGAGGAGGAGAAGGCCGTAGCCTGGAAGGCCCTGGGCTACCTGCTCAAGCACCGCGGCGGGAAAGGGTATGGGCGCGGGAGGGTGACCGGCGCGCAGGCGGAGGCGATGGTGGCGGCGCTCGCCGAGGTGACCGAGATCATGGAGGAGGAGATGGTCGACGAATAAGGTTCAATTTGGGGGGGGGGCGGCGTTGTTAGACCGTTGACCACACGGATGCGTTGGGAGTTGTGATTTTTTTGACACAGGGCCGGGTGGACAGGAAGATAATGCGCCTGGGCGAGAGCTGGTTTGAAGTTGATCTTCAGAACGAGCGTCGGGGTCAGCGAGGGTCAGTTACGAACTGGGTGTTGTATCCGACTTGGGAGATAGCCAAGAGGCGCCGGAATGAACAACGCGTGCGTGCGAGAAAGAAGAGAATCCGGGGCGCGGGGGGGGACAGCCAGGCCTGAATAGTGCCGTAGAGGAGTGGAGGTGAGGGGTGAGGTGTACTAGAAGCTTGTCACCCTCGACAGGAGTAAACTTTTGACAGTCGACATGTCGTTTACGTAGTGTGGACTTTCTAGGGTAAAAACGTAAAAACGCAGACCAAGTGCGTGCATGGCATGCCCTGTATTCCTTGGCGTTGTGGCGTGTGATAGGACAAGCGACACGACTACTGTTCAGAAAGGCCGATGTGAGAGGGGATAAGGCAGCTTTCAAACAAAATAGTGTAGCTCTCCATGTAAATTCTTGGAACGGATTGATGACGTCCAGTTTGCCTCGGCCATGATCTGAAACTCTTCCAAGCACGGCTTCTCCGCTGCACCGAGGTATGCCCCCGAACCAGCGAGGGTACCCTGGGAGTGACGCATCCCGTCCGCTCTTTGCAACTCGGGAAGCCTTGATTGAGTTTGTGTGCGCCACATCACGCGGCCATGATGCATGCCATGGTGTGGGGTTGTGTTCCTATGGTAGGTTTTTTGGACTTCGGGTATCAGCTCATTCATAGGCGCTTCGGTCAGGGCCTCTTGTCCGCAGACTCTCAAGACCACAAGTTTATCAGACACACGTGGTGGACGCACCCCACACTCAAGGTCATGTTGCCTGCGAAACAGGAAATAGCGAGCTTCGAATACATCACAGAACAACCACATGTATCAAGAGGTCTACAGCTGCAGCAAAGAGAGCAACACAGATGGGGAAGAAGGGAGGGGGGGGGAGGGGGGTCTAATCCTCTGACTAGGAATAGCTAATTCTTATTATTTACAGCGCATGTTTCTTGGCGATCCGGCGTATGCAACGGTATGGACCTGCGTTTTTAGCTCCAAAACAACAACAGCCTGCCCAACGAGTACAGCACCATCGCATCTAAGCAGGTCAGTAGAGCTCGCTCTCTTTCTATCTCTCTCCTTGGCGTCGTTTTGGTCAGGCCTCTGCCTGCAACTAGTCTCTTGGGGAAAATTCGGAATGGTTTCGAGCATGACTACTTCTGCTAGGTGTGCACTATAGCTCCAACACACGCCGCGAATCCGCGAGAAAGCTTAAAAAAGAAAGCAAACAAGCAGACGACGGCAGCAGTAGTTCTCGCCGTATCGTGCAGCTGCTTTTCAACACCATCGTCGGCGTTCACGTCGCTTTTCCTCTTCCTACGGTGGGTTACGTCACTTTCCCTCTCCTACGGTCCTAATCGAGGGCTGTATGTATGCGCTCGCAAGCGCACAGGAAGCAACGTCAGTGCAGTTGACACTACCGCATACAGAACAGCGGTCACAGGTGCGCGCACAAGCTTTCTCGCTGAGGTCAAGCTCTCCTTGCGCCAACCGCGATTACCAGCAGCAGCATCACCCTCCGCTGCGCCCTCCATCTAGAAGCCCCCCAGAGAGAGTCGCTAGCGGAGCGACCGAGCTATACCAAGTGGTTCCAACTCCGCTGCCGCTGTTGTTTACTTGACGAACTTCGCCATCTCCCCCAACCAGTTGGTGTACTCGTTCTGCTCCTTTTGGTCGGCGTACATGCAGATGAACGCCGCCAGGTCGTCGTCGATGTTGCGCTCCTTCAAGTAGTCGTACAGCGCGTCCTGCGCGAAAAAGGCAAGAGAAACACAAATGGTTCGTCGGTGCTACTGTGAGGGGGACCACCTCCGCAAGAATTTTGTGATGGTTGTAATAGAGAACAGGGTTTCGTGCCCCCATCCCATACTCCCAACTCGTACCGCCTGCTAAACCTTAGATCAACGTTCTCGCGAAGGCGAGGGGCGAGCTGGACACTAATACATGCATTGAAAGCCACGCGAGCGCGTTGCCGCGTGCATGCGTTCAGGACACGATTGCCGAGTCCGGGCGTCGACTGCGTCTAGATTATCAAGGGTGGTACACGAGACACGTCGATGCAGGTTGTTGTGAAGCCGTCATTTTCAGTAGGAACGACAAAGCTGAGAAGAAGGGGGGGGGGGGGGGGGGGGGACCTTTTTTTTT